CAATCAGGAGACAGAGTCAGGATCTGACCCTAATTCAAACTGATTGGCGCGGCTCGATGAATCAATTGCCGCTTTCAACCAGAGGTTTATTTTAAACCTCTGGAACCAGGGTAATGATTTCAGTGATATAGTTAATCAAAAACATACAAAAGAAAATCAATTTTCAATATTAAGTTTAAATATAAGAAGCATACAGAATAAGTTCGATCATTTTCTAAACTATTTAGCAACATTAAATTACTCCTTCACGGTAATAGCTCTGATGGAAACTTGGATAGATGATGTCACATGTGACGTTGATGAGTTTAATATACCAGGTTACGTAAAATTTAATTTTAATAGGAAACATAAAATAGGCGGAGGCATTTGCTTATATGTTAAACAAGACATGGAAGCTAAAATTCAAAACGACATAACTAATGAATGTAACCCAAGCAACGTTGAAAGTTGTTGAATTGTCAAATCGGAAAGGAAAAAATATAATACTAGGATTAATTTACCGCCCGCCAAATAATATGTACAATGATTTTGAAGAAAAAATTGAAGCAGCCTTAAGTAAAATAGATAGTGAGTCGAAACCCTGTTATATATTAGGAGATTTTAATATTGACCTTTTGAAACATGAAAAGTGTGAGTACTCAGCAAGATTTTTAAACCAGATGATGTCATCAATGTTTCTACCTACTATATTAAAACCAACTCGCATCACCAGAAAAACAGCAACACTAATAGACAACATATTCACCAACATAGAAAATAATGTACATATGAGTGGCATACTTTTTAACGACTTATCTGATCATTTACCGGTATTTTTAATATGTAAAAATAAGGAAACCAACACCAATGGCAAGTCAAAAGACCAGACAAATATGATTAGACACATAAATGAAAACCGCATACGACAATTTAGAGAGGATATTGAGAGTGAAAACTGGCAACATGTAATTGACATACATAAACCAAATGAATCGTATAACACTTTTAAAAAAGCATTCACAGATAAATATAATAAACATTTCCCTCTAAGACATATAAAAACCACAAGAATTAGAATAAATCAAAACCCATGGATTACCCAAGGCATCGCAAAATCTTCTCGGAAAAAAAATAAACTTTATAAAAAATTCCTATAAAAACTCCAAGCAAAAGAAATGAAGCTAAATACAAAATTTATAGAAATAAGTTAACTCATATAGTCAGAATAGCTAAGAAGAATTACTTTGATAAAAAATTTGAGAACTGTAAAAATGACATTAAAAAAACATGGGATACAATAAAAGAATTAATAAGAAAAAAACCCCACAGATCACAGCTTCCAACATCATTTCTATGTAATAACAAGTACATAAATAATCCTAAAGAAATTGCCAACAATGTTAATGAATTTTTCAGTAATATTGGACCAAATCTAGCAAAACAGTTCGACAAAAATTCAAATGATTTTAAGAAATATTTAAATACAAACTATGTAAATTCAATGTCGTTTATAACTGAAATTAAAACATCAGAAGTGTTAGAAATAATGCGTCAACTAAAACCAAATAAAAGTCATGGTTACGATGAGATTCATCCAAGAGTAATTAAAGAAATAGCTCCCCAGATTAGTACTGTGCTTTGCCATATATTTAATTTAACATTTAAAACAGGGATCATTCCCAAAGGACTAAAAACATCTCTAATAACACCCATCTTTAAAGCTGGAAATAACGAAGAGTTCAACAACTATCGACCAATATCAGTTATACCGTGTTTTTCAAATATCTTAGAAAAACTAATGTACAAAAGGCTTATGAATTACATTGAAAAAAATCATATTTTGCATAATAATCAATATGGATTTAGACGTAATCGATCAACCACGATGGCAATTATACATTTAACTGAAAAAATAAAAAGAGCAATTGAAAGCAATGAATTTACAATAGGAATATTTCTGGACCTGTCAAAAGCATTTGACACTGTAAATCATGATATTCTGTTACAAAAATTAGAGTCTTATGGAATAAGGGGGATAGCGAGGAAATGGTTTCAAAGCTATTTAACAGATCGAGAACAGATTGTAAAATATAATAAGGTATTATCGGAAAAAGCAAAAATTAACTGTGGGGTTCCACAGGGTTCAGTTTTAGGACCGTTATTATTTTTACTATATATAAATGATATATTTAACTCAAGTAATTTGACCTCGTTTATAGTCTTTGCAGACGACACAAATCTCTTTTACTCTGGAAAAAAATATTAAACAACTAGAATTAGTTGTAAACAATGAAATTAAGAAAATATTTGAATGTTTTAAAGTCAATCAACTAACTTTAAATATAAAAAAGACAAATTATATAATATTTAAATCGAAGAAAAAACAAATTAAACATGATGTAAAAATAACAGTAGAAAATGATCAACTTGTCCATGCTGTGAAAACAAAATTTTTAGGAATGATAATTGACCAACACTTAACCTGGAATGATCACATAAACTATATAGCTAACAAAGTTGCTAAGTCAACTGGTATACTCAGCAAAACACGATACTTTCTAAAAATAGATACCCTTACTACGTTATATAATACACTTATATACCCCTATTTGTATTATGGTAATATAGTTTGGGCAAATAACTATTCTTCAAAGCTAAAAAAACTTGTTAAACTACAAAAACGAGCTGTTAGGATTATTACATCTAGTTCATATTATGCAGAATCCGCTCCTCTCTTCAAAAAAACTAAAATGTTAAATCTTAATCAACTTAATAACCTATGCGTTGGCCTTTTTATGTATGACTATATAAAAGGATATTTACCTGCTTTTTTTGACAATTATTTCATCTTGAATAACAAAGTTCACAAGCACAACACACGAAAATCCAATTTAATCCACAAAAAACGAATTCGAACAAATTATGGAAAATTTTCAGTAAAAAATAAAGGAACAGAAATTTGGAACAAAATTCCAAAAAAAATAAGAGATTCAAGTACCAAAACGAAATTCAAAAAGGAAATGAAAATACATCTATTATTATCTCAAGACAAGCTATAAAACACAATATATATTTATATGTATACATATAATATATATATATATATATATATATATATATATATATATATATATATATATATATATATATATATATATATATATATATATATATATATATATATATATATAACGGTAATATATTATATGATAACATATAGAGTAGATTACAGAAATTATTCTTTCAAGTATAGAGTACAATATATATTTATGTAATTAATTAATAATTCTATATAGTAATAGCTAGTATGTACTCTAGATCTAGATAAACTGACGAAAAATTACCTGATAGAGAACTTATTAATCATTTAGTATTAAATATTTTGTCACGGGGGACTATACTCGCAAAAGCCTTTTGGTTTATTATGGTCCTCTGTCCAAATATGTATAATGTAAACTAGTACATAAATATATATAACGAAATGTATATATTGTAAACATATTTGGAAAAAAAAAATTAAATAAAAAAAATATAAACATTGTCATTTGACGTCCCTGGAAACGGTCAATTTTGAACAGCTCAACGCGCGTTGCGAACGCAATGTCTGATGAATTAACATTAATTCTGCATAATTATAGTTCAACCAATCACAATTCGTCCCAACTTTTCTTGGAAAATTCACGTGACCATACAAGCTTCATGCCACGGATTCGCAGACTATATATGTCATTATATAGTCTGCGCGCAGGCTAATCGTGCAGAGGCTTCGCGCCGTTCCTTTGCCTTTCCCTTTGCCGCCTGCGCTCCTTCGCCCAGCAGCTACGCTCGTGTTCCAAGATCCGCCATGTAAAGTGTAGTGAAATGTATCTCATCGTAATATTAAATCCTAAGAAAACTAAAGCCTCTGCGGAGGAGAGAGTAGTTAATTAATATTAGTATAAACCTACTAGTAGGCTATCATATATCGTGCGTTCTGATTGGCTACGCTACTAGTAGCCTATTATTAGTGATAGCCTATACTAGTAGAGGGCCGGCGAAGGGTGCGAGAGTCAATGGCCGTTTTAAAGTGTTAAAAGCTGCACTTAAAGGATAAAGATTATCAAAATGGCTTAATTTTTGTTCTGGATTACACACAATCAAACGCTCTTGGAAACTGCGCACACATACGGTAAAATTTTAAGTTTTCTCAATTTTGCTTGTAGTTTTGAACATGGAAGTGACGGGCTATTTTTTCATAATATATGCACATTTTTTGTTTATATTCCAAGCAGAGTCGTTGAAATTCAACAATAGTTTGTAGCTATAATTTTAAAGAGTTTTTTTTTTCGTTTAAATGTTGAGATTTTGGCCGAGTCTGTTTTTCCAATCGCCTTTTTCGAGCCTTTTTAATAAAGAGGCCGTCTCCGTAAGATCCACCTATACTGACTCTGGCGCTGAAATTTATTTTCCCTTCATATTTCTATCATTTGTTAGCCTTTGTTAGTAGGTAATAAATATGCATACATCTTTTGGATTCTAGTTTTATTTTTCAAGTTTTGCTATATTTTCTATTTTGTGTCTGCCATGGCTATTTTTAGACAGTTTGAGACGTAAAATTATCCATTTTCAAAGGAACTCCAGATATGTGTACGACATAATTTTATTTTATTTTTGGGTCATCCGAAAGATTTACATCTATACAACAACTTGACGGCAATGATTTGTATATATTACAGGAATTCGGGTTTTTTTAAATTTTTTTTCTAATGCCAATTACGACGTGCCGGCAAAATTGTCGGAATGCTCTGCTAAAAGGGCCGCCCTTCACGACAATTCACTGTGTTTTTAATCGCCAAATATTCGATTTTATTTCGTATGTTGTATTATGTTTACACGCCTATTTCTCCCTCTCTCACAGTGTATTCTATGTTGTTTTTACTAAATGTCAATCATACACTAATTATGTCCTGATATGGTGTTCATATCTAGTGTTTGTTCATACAGTAACCTATTTATAGTCTGTTTCCAACACACTCCCTTATTTAACACCGGAGGTGTTGAATACACTTGTTGCATGCATGCATTACCCTATAATATTATTATCAATATCAACCTATAAATTCAAGTCTTGAACGTCAGTTCAGTTACGTTTGACCGTAGCAAACCAATCAGAATGCCGTATATGCCAATTTTCGCTACGGTCAGATTCGACCTTAATGAATCTGACCGTAGCGAAAA